AAGAGAAATGCAGCAATGAATGAATGGAAATCCAAAATTTCTGTAAATGTTAATTAAAATTATTAAAATAAAATAAAAATTACAAAAAAAATCCTAGCTCTAAGGAAAAACTTGGTTTCACCCTCTCCAAGATAGACTTGTTTGTTTTCTTGGTATGTTCAAGACTCTTCTCCAGAACCACAACTCAAAAGCATCAATTCTTCTGTCATCCTTAGTCATTGTCCAGCTCTCTGATGTGTAACAAGAAATTGGCCTGGATCAGTTGAACCTTAGTCTCTAGACTGACATTGTTGCTTCTCAGTACTCTGGAGACAGCAGATTTTCCCAGTACAATTCATCATTTGAGTCCTGACTGCTGGTGCCAACAGTGTTGCTTGTGGAGCGGAGCAAGCCTATAATTGTTAACAACCTCAGTATATCATGGTGCTGTCAAATTGCCCAGTAGTGAGAATATTTCTTTTCTTGATGTTGAACTGTGATCTATATTGAAGACTATAGTCCTTGACCTTCTGCAGCAAGCACTTCAGGTCCTTCTCATGTTCAGCAAGCCAGATTGTGTCATCTGCATAACATAGATTGTTTATGAGTCTTCCTCCAATTCTGATGCCACATTCCTCCTCATAAAGTCCAGCATCATCAATTTAACTTCAATTTAAAGGTATTTTGTCAAGATGCTAATCATTATACTATTCATTTTCTATTAAGAGACAAATAAAATGAATATTTTTGCATCTTTTGGAGGCCAATTTTTTTTTCTAAATATTGGGGACATTTTCCATTATATTACTCAATAATTTGTCTATAATGGTTTTCTTGAAAACATTCTCTTGGAATTTAGTATCAGAATAAAAATAAATTTCTTTTAAAGAACTGGTAAGCTTCCTCTTTCAAGATAAAGAAACAGTATCATTTTATACATCTTCCTTTATGAGTTGACATTCAGGAAATTCAGAACTGTCTCTAGTGCTGGAGACCTCCACCTTGTTAGATTTTTCTCCTGCTTCCTCTATATAAATTGTGCTCTCTGACTATGTCTTTTGATATTATGAGGCATATAGATTTAATTGGTAAAATTATTTCTATTCTTTTTTATTTCTTTTTCTGCAATTGGAATTTGACTAGACATTCACAGAACAAACTGGGGTTTTTTATCATTCATGCACAGATTGTTTTATTATTACAATTAAAATACACATAGTGTCTGATTGTCTATCCATTCCATATTATGTTTTCCTTTACTCATCTTAATAAGTGTTTATTATCTATCAATTAATTTTCTACTCCTTCTTTTACCTTTCTGGTAATCATTGCAGAATGGCTCTCTTTGTGTGTAAATTTTTCTCTAGCTTTTTAAAACAGTGGTCCTTATGCAGTATTTGTCCTTTTGTAACAGACTCATTTCATTTACATTATTTTAGAGCAAAAAAGAATCCAAAGTTAAGCGAGTAAGTACACAAAAATAGTTCAAACATTATTTTCTCAATAATTTAAGGCTGTAGTACTAAGCCAGACACAACTGGGCTCAAATTTGGTTGTGTCACATCCTAGCTGTGCTAATATAACCTAACATAATAAGTAGATGCTAATATTATTTTAAGTGATGCTTTAGTGAGTAAATGAGACCAGATACACTGGATGTTCCCTGTGCTTGGCAAATAGCAAGGGTCTGGGTATCATTTTCTTCCTGTATCTTTCTTCAAATTCAAATTGTGTTTTCATGGACTTGGGGGGAGGGATTGTATAAAAATAAAAAAATTTTTCTTTTACTTTTCAAAGAGAAGAGCGAATTGGGGGAAAGGGTGGGGTGGGCAGGGAGAAAAGTGCAACAATGAATGAATGGAAATCCTCAGTCTCTGTAAACTTTCATTACAGTTAATAATAATAATATTTTTTTAACAAAAAAGTAAAATAAAAGACACAGTAAGCTAAAAAAAGTGTTTTACCTTTATCTTGCTTTGGCTATACTGCTTTTTGCTGTTTTGTTTGATTTGTCTTTCTAATGCTTAGCATAGTTGCTTGCATGTTAGTCAAATGAATGAACGAATGAATGGTGACCACCTTCATATCTCTCTTTACTTTCAGTCTCCATTCATTTTGTCACCACAAGCCCAAGATTTCACAGTCCTTCAATGCCTTTCTAATCCCCCTCCATTCTGATGCTTTAAATAATTATTATTTGCTCATACTTGTCTCTTGATTTGTTTCTTGATTTTAGCAATTAGCTTTTTTAAATTAAACAATCTGTGACGCTTCGGTTTATAAAAGAAATGTAAAAGAAATATTCTTCCCTTTTGCCCCAGCTTCCTGCATATAGTATGATACGTCTACTCTGAGTTTTCCTATATATTGTGACCCCAAGTTACATTCATTATGTTGTGAAGTTCTCTAGCAGTCCCAGATATTCTTAACACATATCCCATTTTTTAAAAAAAACTTAATATTGTTTAATGTGAGAATAATGTCTAACACTTCCTTCTTGTTTCACATAATTCCTCACACAAGTTCTGACACTGAATCTGTAATAAGTGCCTAAAAAGTGTTCATGTATCTCATGCTGTTTCTTTTTCTCTTTTTGAGTTGATGTTAAGTGAATGAAAGTCTCCATGACTGATATCAGCAGATTGGCAAAAATCTTTATGTTATGGACAATTAGTAAGAGTCTAGTTCCGTGCAGTAGTCCCTGTTGCTATGTTGTATACCATCAAGTCAGAACTGACCCACAAATGACCCTCCATCAGATTTTCAGAGGCAATTGATCCCACAGAGCAGCTGGTGGTTTCGAACCACATACCTTTGGGACTGTAGTGCAGCTTCTTGCCACAAGGCCACTAGAGCTTCCTGGGTGATATAAATGGTTAAATGCTGTCTGCTAACAGAAAGATTGGTGAAGTGAACCCATTTAGAGGCAGATGAGACATAATACCTTATGATTTGCTTCTAAAATAATCAACACTTGATGATTTTATCAACACACAGTTCTATTTTCCAATACATAAAGTAACCTTGGGTTAGAATCAACCCAATGGCAACTGAGTCTGCTTTTGCACAGAGCACCTTATATACATTGCCCAATCTAGTTCTCACCACCATGTGGGGTTTTGTTGTTGTTAGGTATTGTTGAGTCAAGTGCAACTCATAGCAACTCTAATAAACAACAGATCTGAAACCTGTCCTATTCTGTATTATCCACATAGTTTCTGACACACTTAAGTCCATTGCTGCAGTCATTGTCAATTCTAATGATTGAGGGTCTTCCTCTCCTTCACCATCACCCCCACCTTTCCAAGAATAATGTCCTTTCCCAAAGAACATGCCCAAAGTCTGTGAGATGAAGCTTCATCATCTTTGTCTCCACGGAGCACTCTGATTATACCTTCCCCAAGACACATCTGTTTGTTCTTCTCCTGTCATCCTTGTTCATTGTCCAGCTTTCAGGAACATAACAAGTAACAAGTACCATTCAGGGTAGACTTCAGCATTCTAGTTAGAAAACTTGAAGTGCCAAGAGTTTAAGTAACTTGTCAGGAATCACCTAGTATATGTGTTTTCATTTCATTGTGTTTGATTAAAAACTGCATCCCTTTCCACTGTTGCCCATGATCTCTGTTTCTTAACTATATTTTCTCTCTTCTTCACAGGAGCTCTGTACCCAGATGGGACATCTGGGAAGAACAAGGATGATGACATGGTTCCTCCTGGCAAAAACTATACCTATGTTTGGCCAGTGAGGGAAGAATATGCACCTGCTCCTGCAGACGCCAACTGTCTCACCTGGGTGTACCATTCCCACATTGACGCCCCCAAGGACATCTGCTCTGGGCTAATTGGCCCACTGCTTGTGTGTAAGCAAGGTAAGGAGACCTTCCACTCTCAGGATGTTTTTTGCAGAAAGCATTGTAGTGTGTTAGAGTGTGATGGTACCATTTTAAGAGCTGGCTCTTGTTTTCCCTACCTCCTTTGCTACAAACAAAAGTAACCCTCTCTTCCAAACTTTTTGAACACTTGGGAATATCTTTTGACGTAGAATATCAATCTAATCTAATCTTCTCATTAAGAAAAGCAGTAATCTAGATTTCCCAAACCCCTGACAGACATCTAAAATGTATGTGCTTTTAAAAAGAGAAAAATGTTCAATGAATAACTGTTCACATCATCCTGACATCATATATGTTGTTGCTATGTGCTGTCGAGTCTCCTGTGACTCATAGCGCCCCTATGTACAATAGCCCTAAACCTCACTCTATCCCTTGCCAATCTTATTGTCTTTCCCCATTATCCCAGTGATGGAATCAATCCATCTCATCAAGGGTCTTTCTCTCCTGTGCTGTCCTTCCACCCTTCCAAGAATGATGTCCCTCTCCAAGGACTGATCGTGCCTTGCAACATGTCCAAAGTATGTCAGACGAAGCTTTTGAATCCTTGACTCCAAAGAGCAGCCTAGCTTCACCCTCTCCAGGACAGACTTGTTTGTTCTCTTACAGTCCATGGTATATTCAACACTCTTCTCTAACACCACAGCTCAGAGGCATCAACTCCCCTTCTCATCACTAGCCATTGTTCAGCACTCTGATGCATAGCAAGTAATTGCAAATACCATGGCCTGTATCAGGCTCAACTTATATAGACATGTGAAAAATTGGGTCAAGTAACATCAGTGCTTTTGTTTCAATATTTTACCCACACAACCAGCTTGCTTTTTAAAAATCCCCTTTTCACTGATTTATTAGTTTTGTGCTGTCATTTCAGTCTCACTTTTTTAGGGAATCGGCAGATGCCTAAGTCTGCAGTTGGGAAGAATTCTGCTTTATGACTTTTCTCTTTCAAGTTGTATCATTTCCTTTAAAACTTGTGTCTACTTCTGTGTTCTGGGGCTTGGGGTGGGGTGGGGTGGGTGGGAGAAGGTTATAGTCAAGTTCATTCTGACTTGTGTTTCCCTCATGTGTGTCAGAGTGGAAGCTTCTCCCATAGGGTTTTCAAGGGCTGAATGTTTGGGAATAGATAGCCTTTCTTCCAAAATCCAGCTAGGTGGGCTAAACCCTCTAACTATTCCATTAGCAGCCAACAGTGTTAACCATTAATACCATCCACGGTTGCCAGGTCAAGCTTGTAGAATTCTTTGACAAACTTTCAAGCTTTCCTGAATACCATTGGAGAGAGGCAAAAGCTCATTTGGCTTAGCTTATGTTGACCTTTTTTCTTCTCCTTTTTACAATGTATCTGCTAGGTGTCCTAAATAAGTATTCAGGGACAAGGACTGACGTAGACCGAGAGTTCATTATAATGTTCACCCTGGTAGATGAGAACCAAAGTTGGTACCTTGATGAAAACATCAGACATTTCTGCACTGAGCCTGATTCAGTCGACAAAAAAGATGCTGTTTTCCAGAGGAGTAACAAAATGCATGGTAAGAAGTTCCCACAATTTAATAAAAACATTTATTCTACCTCTGCACTGCTGTTGTTGTGTACCATCGAGTTGGAACTGACCCATAGCTGACCCTCTGGCAGATTTTCAGAGGCAGTTAATTGCATGGAAGGAGATGGCCCGTCCTTCTCTCATGGAGCAGCTGGTGGATTTGGACTGTGTGCCTTCAGCACTGCAGTTCAGCTTCTCAACACTAAGCTACTAGTGCTCTATGAGGATGGAAGGAAACCCCCCAAAATCCCCAACAACCCCATACAGTGTTGAACCCTAGTTCCTCAAGATTTATAACTTGGTGACAGGAATAGTTAGAAAATGGTAAAAGACATGGTACATGTGGAAGCCTTCAATGATGTGAGAAGAAACAAGGCAATAGATAAGTTTTAAACTGAATGTGAAATATGAACTAAACTGTGATGCAGAAAGTGGATGAAGCAATTTCATAAACAGGAAAGAATCAGGACATACAATGAGCCCAGGAGGTAGGGAAGTAGGTTTAGATTAACAGAAAGGGGAAAAGAAAATAATCAGCAAATATTCTGTGTTTTGAACTTCCTCCTCTGCCATGAGACTAGAAGAAGTGGATGGTCCCTAACTACTATTACTGAATATTTGAGCAAAGATTCTATAGAAGAATCCTGGTCAAAAAGGAGAGAGGGGAATGTGTAATAGAATTTAAAATTCTTTATGGAGTTCAGACTTTCTGGAGCCACTGAGGATGAATGAACCCCTGAAACTGTTGACCTGAGATGATATTTAAATTTAAAATTGAAACCCAACCTCTCCCCTGAAGTTTTCTTGGAACTATAAACAAGCTTATTTTAAGGAGTAGAATATATACTTTGAGAACTGTGCTCTTTGAAAGAATTCTCTATGTGAGATCAAATTGGCAATGGCAATTGAAAAGACCGGATGGAAAACTTAGGGGTCAATAAGTTTAAGATAATTACTCACTCATTACCACTGAGTTAGTGATCCATAGGTCACCATTTACCAGGTTTTTGTGAGTATAAATCACAAGAGAGGAGCTTGTTTGTTTTCCTCCTGGGAGCACTGGTGGGCTCACATTACCAGGGAGTTTTAGCAGGCTAACTCCCTCCACACTAGGCCTGCGCAACTCCTTCTAAGTTAATGGTGGAAGGTAATGTGGGAAAAGATCAAATGCTAGCACAACTTGAGTAAAGTAACCAATATTATTGAATTGTACATGTTAAAATTGTGTATCTTTTTTACTTTCATGAAATCAAAATATGTTTAAATTCTGTGTTTTGTAACCTCTTACTATGTCTAGTAACCATTTTTGGAATGGTTACTAAATGTTAAGAATAAAATTTATGGTGTTTAGACACACAGTTGTGAATGTATTAAGTTTCTCAAATTTTATTTAATTAGACAAAGGTTTTGTTTTCTTCCAAAGCCAATGTTTTCAGTTATTCAGTCAGTTATCCCAATTTGGGACATCACTGGCTTTAATGAAGAATTTTACAGAGACGATTAATGATCTTTTTTAAAAAATATTGTTTTCCTAGACAGTCGCTGTGAATTGAAAGGAAATCTTCAATGTAAACATTCTATTTCTTTTGTTGACAAATCTTCACCTTTTGCTGCTCTGTCTCTTAGAATTATTCTAATGGAGGCAGTTCAATGTAGTCATAAAATCATTAGTGAGAGGGAAGTAACTGACAATCTTCTAACTTCCCACATTTTGAAGATATTGTGGTGACAATATTGAGTTGAAGGGCCTGTGACTGAGTTTCTTAAGGTTAAAGTGCTATTTAGGGCCAGTATCAAGTCAAGAGTCTCAGTATGCTGTCTCCATCATGAACATCCCCTTTTTCTTCTGGTGATTTTCAGCAGACTTAAGTGCTTGGGAAATATTTTAAGAGGGAAGGAAAGAAAGTCAGAAAGGGGAGAAGAAGTAATAAACATCAACAGCAGAATAAAAGAAGACTTACATTCAAATCATTGATGTGACCTTTTAAGTTGTAACCTTGTTCTTTATAAAATGGAAACTATGATCTCAAATATTTCTGAACACTACCAGCACTGGACTACTTTTTGGAAAAACTAGAAAAAGGTATTTATGGAATTCCAATGAGTGGTGATGGATCATGCAGTTCAAATAACTAAGGTAAGGGAAATAAAAACCAGAACTGCAAGGGGGCTTTGTCAGCCAAGTTAATGTCCTCATGAAACAAAGCTGAAGTCAGGTTCTTTCCATCTCTGTTTTATTTCAAAAGCCAAAGAGTAGCTTCTCTGATTAAAAACTCTATAAAGGTGATCTTTTAAGACTGTTGGCTCTCAACCTGATCACAAATCAGAAGTAACTTAAAAACCCTTCTCATAAAAAGACCAAAGTCTGTGACAGGCCCTAGCTCTGTGGGAAGAGTACAGTGACTTTGAAATGCATCCTTGTCGAAGAACTGATGCACTGTAAAATTCGGAGTGCCACACAGCAAATCAGTGAGAATCTTCCTAATTGTTTAAGAGTTTTCAGGTGGAAAGAAAGAATTTCTAAGTGGTAGTGGGAATATAATAAAATGGTGCATTCCCTATAGTAACTTAGAAAGCTGGGAATAGAAATAACATTTGATCCACCAATCTACTACTAGGTATTTATCCAAAGAAATAAGATCTGCAGGCTTCCACACACTCGTGTTTATTGGCACATTATTTACAAAATCAAAGAGCCAGAAACAATTCAAGTGTCCTATGGATGAATAGCTGAGGAAACTACAGTACATTCACATAATGGAGGATAATGCCTCACTGAAAAAAGATCAAGAGTTTGTGAAACATTGCACCACATAGATGAGTCTAGAACAAATTATGTTGAGTGATGCAAGTCAGTCATAAAAGAATTATTGTGGTATAAGATAACTATTATAATAAAAAGCGGGAAGCTCTGGTGATGTAGTCCATGGAAACCTGTGCTGCTATCCCAAAGGCCAAGACTCTCTACTGATTTAAATCTGGAGCTGATTGTGGAACAGACCACCAATTACTCATATGCAAGTTCAAGCTGAAGCTGAGGAAAATTAAACCAAATCCACAGGAGCCAAAATATGAC